TCATGACCAGGAGAGAGCATAGGGAGAACAACTGTGCTTACAAACTGGACCCTACCAATAAAATACATTTTAATACAACTACAAGTACATTACCATAATTAATATACAGTATACAATTAAAAGCATTGAGGCTATAATCCACACGTACACGTACTCATGTACAACAGTGCATGTACATGTATTGAACAATATTTTGTCAATAATCATGCACAGGTTATTCTACATAAATAACAAGTACTTTGCTCAGTTCACTGTCATTATCAAAAGTGTATCTCACTATAGTACCATCAGCATGATCACACAATATACCTTGACCTGAAGGACTGAAATTAAACAAAAAATAGATAACATTATGTATGATTATGCTACATGCATGCCTACATGTACATGCCTATATTCAACCTTCAAACATAGATGTACATGTAACAAGTTTTCAGACATGTTTTACAGACATTGCACGTCTACTGGAATTTTCGTGTACTTGTATTTACTTGTATTTTGAAAAAAGCAAGTCGTGTATGTACTTGTATTCATTGGCAAATTTTCGTGTATGTACATTTACTTATTGCTTCCCAAATTCATCTATATTTTGGTAATTTTTCGCTTACTTTTCATGTATCCTGTACTTAAATGTTGAATCATTGAAAGGCTAATGTCTTCATCACCTTTTCTATTGCTGTTTTCATCATCTGCTATTGCTAGAAGGACTAAAAAGACCATCAAAGATCCGTGGTTAAGGAAACTAACTGCCATTTTGACTGCTACGTAGACACACCTTTTAATTATTAATAGTTAATATAAATACATGAAAATCGTCTCCTTAAACTCCGTCTACTTATTTTTGGTTCATGTATATACTTGTATGTACTAGAAGACCTGTTTTTCGTCTAAATACTCGTGTATCGTGTATACACGTGCAATGTCTGATGTTTTATGCATGTTTTCATTTTTATGTACCGTATAGCGTGAAATTTTGGAGGGACTAAAAGTTGGCGAATTGCTAAATTTTGGTGATTGGCAGGTTTTAATTTGGCGGATTTTAATTTGGCGAATTGGTGGCCACGTGCCATTGAGCATGCGTATAATGGCTCAAAATGGTGGATTTAATTTTGGCAAATGGCTATCAAAACGCCAAATTCGCCAAATTTAATTCCGTCCAAAATTTCCTGCTATACAGTAAAAGAACAAAAATTAAAATATGCATGTATACATGTATTTCATCATGTTACATGAAACATCACGTTTTTTCAGTTGACACTACATGTATATTTATTGTATATGCTGCAAATATGCATAAATAGTCAAACCTTG